GGGCCTTGCATAGTAGGCTGAGAAGTGCGTTCTGGCTACTAGGTACGACATATATATATATATATATATATATATATATATATATATATATATATATATATATATATATATATATATATATATATATATATATATATATATATATATATATATATATATATATGTCGTACCTAGTAGCCAGAACGCACTTCTCAGCCTACTATGCAAGGCCCGATTTGCCTAATAAGCCGAGTTTTCATGAATTAATTGTTTTTTCGACATCCTAACCTACCTAACCTAACCTAACCTAACTTTTTCGGCTACCTAACCTAACCTAACCTAAAAAGATATGTTAGGTTAGGTTAGGTAGGGTTGGTTAGGTTCGGTCCTTTATCTACGTTAATTTTAACTCCAATAAAAAAAAATTGACCTCATACATAATGAAATGGGTAGCTTTATTATTTCATAAGAAAAAAATGAGAGAAAATATATTAATTCAGGAAAACTTGGCTTATTAGGCAAATTGGGCCTTGCATAGTAGGCTGAGAAGTGCGTTCTGGCTATTAGGTACGACATATATATATATATATATATATATATATATATATATATATATATATATATATATATATATATATATATATGTCGTACCTAGTAGCCAGAACACACTTCTCAGCCTACTATGCAAGGCCCGATTTGCCTAATAAGCCAAATTTTCATTAATTAATTGTTTTTCGACTACCTAACCTACCTAACCTAACCTAACCTAACTTTTTCGGCTACCTAACCAAACCTAACCTATAAAGATAGGTTAGGTTAGGTTAGGTAGGGTTGGTTAGGTTCGGTCATATATCTACGTTAATTTTAACTCCAATAAAAAAAAATTGACCTCATACATAATGAAATGGGTAGCTTTATCATTTCATAAGAAAAAAATTAGAGAAAATATATTAATTCAGGAAAACTTGGCTTATTAGGCAAATCGGGCCTTGAATAGTAGGCCAAAAAGTGAGTTCTGGCTACTAGGTACGACATATATATATATATATATATATATATATATATATATATATATATATATATATATATATATATATATATGTCGTACCTAATAGCCACAACGCACTTCTCAGCCTACTATTCAAGGCCCGATTTGCCTAATAAGCCAAGTTTTCATGAATTAATGTTTTTTCGTCTACCTAACCTACCTAACCTAGCTTTTTTTGGCTACCTAACCTAACCTTACCTATAAATATAGGTTAGGTTAGGTTAGGTAGGGTTGGTTAGGTTCGGTCATATATCTACGTTAATTTTAACTCCAATAAAAAAAATTGACCTCATACATAGAGAAAAGGGTTGCTTTACCATTTCATAAGAAAAAAACTATAGTAAATATATTAATTCAGGAAAATTGGCTTATTAGGCAAATCGGGCCTTGAATAGTAGGCTGAGAAGAGAGTTCTGGCTACTAGGTACGACATATATATATATATATATATATATATATATATATATATATATATATATATATATATATATATATATATATATATATAATTTATATATATAATATATACAATATATATAATTTGCCTAATAAGCCAAGTTTTCATGAATTAATGTTTTTTTCGTCTACCTAACCTAACTTTTTATAATATAATATTATATATATATAAATTTTTATAATTATATATATAAATTATATATATATATATAAATATATACAATATATATATATATATATATATATATATATATATATATATATATATATATATATATATATATATATATATATATATATATATATATATATATATATGTCGTACCTAGTAGCCAGAACGCACTTCTCAGCCTTCTATGCAAGGCCCGATTTGCCTAATAAGCCAAGTTTTCATGAATTAATATATTTTCTCTAAAATTTTTCTTATGAAATGATAAAGCTACCCATTTCATTCTGTATGAGGTCAATTTTTATTTTTGGAGTTAAAATTAACGTAGATATATGACCGAATCTAACCAACCCTACCTAACCTAACCTAACCTATCTCTATAGGTTAGGTTAGGTTAGGTTGCCGAAAAAGTTAGGTTAGGTTAGGTTAGGTAGGTTAGGTAGTCGAAAAACAATTAATTCATGAAAACTTGGCTTATTAGGCAAATTGGGCCTTGCATAGTAGGCTTAGAAGTGCGTTCTGGCTACTAGGTACGACATATATATATATATATATATATATATATATATATATATATATATATATATATATATATATATATATATATATATATATATATATGCGGAAAATCCACAGAGAAATATGAAATGAGGTGAACGTTTCGGCTTTGTTAAAGCCTTTGTCAACACCAGACTGACTAAGGAGAAGGGAGAAGGGGGAGGATATATAGGCCGACACCTGACCAACCCATCCCTAGGGTTGGTCAGGTGTAATTAACCAAAAACAGGTATAGCTTAGCTTAGAATGGTCAAAGAGGATTAAGCGGTCAGAGAATAAGGATGAAAGATAAAGAAAAGCCTCATGAACACACAATATATGAATATACAATTATAATGAGACATTGTAAGCCTCTCTATCAGAGTTGTTTCTTAAACTGTTGTGCAATATTATAACTTAAAAATGGATCAAGTTTGTACATTCCAGTACTAACATTAAGAAGATTTGGACACTGACTGATTAGAGCAGACTCAATCAAATTCCGTTCCACGAAATCACCACAATTGGTAATGCTTTTTGCCCCATTCCAGTTAATATTGTGATCGCATAAACTCGTATGTAGATACAATGCATTAGACGTTTGGGCAGTTCTAATAATCTTAAATTATATTTAGACTTGACATTAATCATTAATAGTACAAAATTATTACTGAATGTTAACATTATAAGCAAAACACAGGTTGACATGAAGGATATCAAATAGTAAGTGAAATAGGTAGCAACATGTCCTCAAGGAGGAACCCTGGAGGTAATCACCTCAGCACCACTATATAATGAGTGCTATTATCTACTTCTTCTCTGTGATTGGTTAGATTATGGTTAGGTTCAGTTAAGGTTAGATTAGGTTAGGTTTAGATTACATTACATTCGGTTTGGTTACATAATACAGAGTATTATTCACAAAGATGTAAAACATGGCATTTATAACTATTTGGGTATCCCCTAGAACTTCCTTTACAGAAAACGAAATTCATCAGACAGTTTCAAAGAAAACTAGTTAAGGATTTACTTTTTACATTTTAAACCAACGATTTATAATAAAATAAAGATATAACTTGGGAACATTATCTATTTTGGTTCCATTGCTAATTTACTAGTAGACTATTAATACAATTGCAATATTATTTCATTTCTCCATAAATATTAAAATAAATATCCAGGTTTTTAACAAGGGCAGCTGGCTGTCATTAGAATCACATTACCCTGAGAATGGCCTGAACATAGAGATAATTAGGGAGATTTTAGTTTATTTTTTAAACTGGTTGAGAGAAGTACAGTATTTTATTTAATTAGGGATGTCATTCCACAGTTTGGGACCCTTGATTTGCTGAACATTTCTGCTTTGGTTAAGTCATGCTCTTGGAATTATGACAAGATATTTGTTTCACGTGTGGGCCCACTGGCTGAGTTATCATTCTCTAGGAACTTCTTAATGTCAGGATTAGCGTTGCCATTCAGAGTTTTATACTCTGAATGTATACTGAATTTTATACTCTTTATTATAGAGATTATACTTGAGATGAGGTGCATTGTCTTGGTAGTTAACATACTCATTGATTTTAGTACAGGAGCTGAGTGCTCTCAGGGTCTAGAGTGTGTTATTGTTCTAATTGCTGATTTATATTGAGTAATTAGAGGTCGAAGGTAGTTTTGGGTTGTAGATCCCTAGGCACAGATACCGTAGGTGAGATATGGAGAGATGAGCAAATAATGAAGTGCTTCCAGGGCAGAGCGAAGTACTTAATATCTGATTTTAGAGACTGTCTACTATTTTTTAGAAACTATGTTTATGGTATTTAGTTTATGACATTGGAAATGAAGCTTATCTGTGAATACCAAGCAATTTCTCAACAACTCATTTCTTAATTTGGATAATATAATTCTTATGATAATATAATCGGTGGATCAAACCCTATGCAAAACGTTTTATCAATGTTAAGGAACGTTTGTTAGCTGTCAGTCACAGAGGAATTTTGTTTTAGTTCAGCATTCACTTTGTCATTTGGAATAAGTAGGTATCATTGGAGAAAATGCTGGAAGATTTTGAAGGTTGAATCGTCAGCAAATAGAATTGCTTCTAAGTGTTGGGTGGAATTTGGAAGGTCATTAATGTAAATGAGTAACAGAAGTGGAACAAGTATACTGGCCTGTAGAATACTCATGTTAATTAACAGAGAGAGTGGAAGAAGTAATATCATTCACGGAAACAGTCTGTAGCCTATCAATGAGGTAAGATTTTTTTAAGTATTGCAAGGAGTGACCGCTGACTCCGGTGTTGTAGTTTGGAAAGAAAGTTATTGTGGTTAACTGTGTCAAATCCTTATGCAGGTCAAACTATAGAGTCTTAGTGGTGCTGTGATGCTCCTATGCATGCTACCATTTCAATTACGTCTTGCGTTGATCAATTTTCTTTGCTCATATCCCTTTGCCTTTTATTTGTACTTTGAATTTTGTACTTTTCTCCTGTCTATTTTTTGTTTCTCAGTTATTTGTACTTTTCTCTATCAAAGACTTCGGATTATCTGTAGTTCCAGTTTTCGGGACCTGCCTTGCTATTTTTTGACGACAGGCGTTATTGTTAGCGCCTTTGTAACAGTTACCCATAACATGTCACCCATTGTCAGGCTTTTCATGACAGAAAACTCATATAAATGTATTGTGGGTAACCCCTGAAGCTCCGGAGATTCTTCACCTAGGAAACGATGTGTATCCCAGCGATTAAAAATATAAACAAATATCGATTTCAACACTGAAATAGATGACGCTATATGTGTACTTTTAAATATTTACCTGTTTACGTATGTGCCATTTGATGTAAATTAATGCAGCCACCATATAAGGCACCAAGAATATCTTCATCAGTCCTTTTGGGTAAATATAGGTGTTCCCTGAAATAATACAAAATTGATTGATTACTCTGCACTTATTAAGCTATGTATATAACTGAAAGTTTCCCTGAAACTAGACAATAGTGGTTGATCCTATATGTCTTCATCAAACCTTTTTACCGGAAGGGTTCCCTGTAATTATACAAATGTTTTTGATCAGATTACCATTTTATCGGTTAATTGGGGAGGGGGGGGGGGGGAAGGGGTCTTCCCTGTATAATTTAAATAATAACTGAACGTATAATATTTTCGCCAAGCCTTCTCTGTTACTGTGGGTATTCATTCTCAAGCTGTTACGATTATACTTTACTTCATGACTTACTCCTGTGACAGTCATTTAAAGGCCCGTGGTAAAAGTAGCTAGTGCAAATGACTTATTTTAATACACACAGAAATCGTAATAATGTGATATATCTATGAGAAAAACTTTGGAACAGGATGGGCATCGAACCAGCGTCCTAGGTACTTCCAGACGCTCGACATAACCCATGTACCATGAGATGCAATGGTTAATGGGTTAAATGAACCATTGTGGATGCCAAGATATAAAATGCAATTGATTTTAAATCCTGGTATCCGCAGGGATCTACCAGGAGTCTGGAGGTACTGAGCTAGTAGCCATCCCAAGTTTCACATATAACCCGCATACCCCTCTGGTGCAGATAAAGGAAAACTCCGACAAATGCTCGCTTCAAATAATCACTGCAATCACAAAAAGTCACAGGTCTGTGAGAAAATCTTTTGTTTAAGGCGCACGTCTGGGTTACCCAGGACGCTGGTTCCATCTCCGTTCTGCTTCAAAGATTTTCCCTAAATAAACTACATTGTTGTGATTCCTTTGCATTTTTTACACTCAAATTTACACCCCAAATTTATCCCATTCTCATTTATCAATTCATTTTCAGCAGAGGCAACCTGACTAGTCTTTTTTGTCTTCCTTAGCTTTAAGAATGGGAATTTTATGTGATAATAAATTTTATGTGATAAATTTGGACTAATACCCTCCCACTGGTCGCTGGCTGTTAAGCCCAACAAGTGCTCTGAAAGTGATGAACCTCCTTGGAGAGATCTTATCACCTGCTGCTTGAGTGCTGAGAGGCATCTTTCAGCTTGGATCCTTCACCACGGCTCACACATTCTAATGTGAACTGGTTGGAAAACTTCCACTTGGAATATTCACTACGTGAGACAGAGACTTATTTATGCAATAAATAGTTTAATTCAGCCGCAACAATTCTCCACGAGTTAGAGACTTACTAGTACACTGTATGGAACGGATCAGCTTGAAACGTTTTCCACAGTGACAGAGTTGCATCTCTGGGTGGCACCGTTCATCTCCACAGTGACAGAGTTGCGTCTCTGGGTGGCACCGTTCATCTCCACAGTGACAGAGTTGCGTCTCTGGGTGGTACCGTTCATCTCCACAGTGACAAAGTTGCGTCTCAGGGTGGCACCGTTCATCTCCACAGTGACAAAGTTGCGTCTCAGGGTGGCACCGTTCATCTCCACAGTGACAAAGTTGCGTCTCAGGGTGGCACCGTTCATCTCCACAGTGACAAAGTTACGTCTCAAGGTGGCACCGTTCATCTCCACAGTGACAAAGTTACGTCTCTGGGTGGCACCGTTCATCTCCACAGTGACAAAGTTACGTCTCTGGGTGGCACCGTTCATCTCCACAGTGACAAAGTTACGTCTCAAGGTGGCACCGTTCATCTCCACAGTGACAAAGTTACGTCTCTGGGTGGCACCGTTCATCTCCACAGTGACAAAGTTACGTCTCAGGGCGGCACCGTTCACCTCCACAGTAAGAGAGTTGCGTCTCAGGGCGGCACCGTTCACCTCCACAGTAAGAGAGTTGCGTCTCAGGGTGGCACCGTTCATCTCCACAGTAAGAGAGTTGCGTCTCAGGGCGGCACCGTTCATCTCCACAGTAAGAGAGTTGCGTCTCAGGGCGGCACCGTTCATCTCCACAGTAAGAGAGTTGCGTCTCAGGGCGGCACCGTTCATCTCCACAGTGAGACTTGTATACTGGGTGGTATATTTCAGCTGAACTCTTCTCCATAGTGTCAGATTTATTTGCATGGTTGTTTAATTAAGCTTTCTCCTTTCTCAGTGGTTGAGGGAGACTTACTAGTGTATGGGTGATATTGGTGAGCCTGGACGCTTCACTACAGGAGACAGACTTGTAAGCTTAGACTGAAAGATACTTGTGTACTGTGTTGTATTGTTCTCTCTTGACTCTTCTCCATGGGTGACAAGGCCATACTCTTGTACTGGGAGTTATAGTTCAGCATGAACCCTTCTCCACGGCACCCAAGACACTTGTACATTGTGGGTGGTACTGTTTTCTTCAGCATGTACCCCTATGTGTGACTGTGTATTTATAGTGTCCTGAGTGGAATAAATCAGCTTCGACCTTCCTCGACGGCTGACAGAGTCTTATTTGCTTGCTGGTATTGTTCACCTTAGGCACTTCTCCGCGGATGATAGTGACCTACTTGTTGATATAGTTCAGCTGGAACCATACTTCGTGGGTGATACAGACTTTCCTGTGTTCAGAGTGGTATAGTTCAGATTGGAGCCTTCTCCATAAGTAAAAGAGTCTTACTGTGTATTGTGTGGAGTAGTTATTTTTCTTGTTGACAGTAGGTGCAATTTGCATGAAGGGTTTATCCGGATTAGTTCAGGTTCAATCCATCTATATAGGTGGCAGCGATTTATTTGGGTATCCGGTGGAATAGTTCCACCTCAACATTTTACTTCTGACAAAGGCATTATAAACTAGGGGGTATAGTTCAGCTTGGACACCTTCACCATAGTAGACAGAAACTAAATATTGTGACGAGTGGTATTCTTCAGCATGAATCTTTCTCTACGAGTGACGGAAACTTACTAGTGTACTGGGTGGCATAGTTCGCTTTGGACCCTTCACACCGGGCGATAAAGATTATTTGCTTACTTGATGGTGTGTCTCCGGTTGGACCCTTCTCCACTGTTAACAGAAAACTACCTAAACTGGGTGGAATAGTTAAGCTTGGACTCGTCTACACTAGTGGATGAGACTTATTTGTACACTGTGTGGTATAATTCAGCTGTGACTCCTCTCCACGAATGGCAAAGACTCACTAGTGCACTGCGTAGAATAGTTCAGTCTGAACCCTTCACTGCTAGGGACAGAGACTTACTTTTGTACCGGGTGGTAGTATTGAGAGTCGACCCTTCTCCAATGTGACAAAGACTTGTGTACTGAGTGGTATAGTTCACCTTGGACCCTGTGAGGAAATCTTCTGGTGATTAATTGATGTTTATTTAGAATGGACTGTATTTAATTGTATTTGTTACTAATTTATTACTGCTGAGTGGACTGTATTTTTATGATTTATTGTCACCAGTAAACTTCCCTTCACTCATTTTGGTTTATAAATTCAGGTTATCACACCGAAATGGTACGGTTGATATAATTCTATCTACTTGATTGCAATTGAATAGTTAGTATTAATTCTACAGATGAGTTAGTTATAATTTTAAACAGGCTCAGCTGTTTTGTAGTGTTGGCTGGTTATCCAACATCAGACTTCCTCGGACAAGTGTACCCCGTACTGGACAGGTATCAATGGCGTCCGAGTGGTTCCGAGATGTATCAACTCAATTGTAGTTTCATACAGTCACAATTTACCAAACGTAAAACCTGACGACTACATGTAAAGTACAGGTGCTACATAAAACCTTGATTATTATACTAAATGATTCGTACCTCCTTTCGGGTGGTGTTTCCTACAGCTTAACCAACTAATCTATCTGAAAGTAATATGGCCATAATAACTAACAAATAAATGGGGTTAGTCGGATATTTAGCATTCCCCTCTGTTTCGCTTAGTCTTGGGAGCAAATAGCAATTATTTTGAGTCACATTGCATTCTTGAACTCGCTGGAAGTAATTTTTCTAGTAGTTCTGGGACTCCCACTTACGGCTCAATTCCACCAACAATAATAATGGCTGCCTCCCTCCCCCTCATTCGCCTGGGGTGTCATACCCATCAGCATTTCATAGATATTCGGAAGAAGGATTTGGTTTGATGTCTAATTTCTATTGAATATATATTTGATTTAGGAGATTCGTTATATTTTATTTTCAGTCCTAAGGCTGATGATTTTAATGTAACATGGGCTAAATCGATTTTGTGGCGAGATCCAAACGTCGCGGCAAATATATTCTCGTTTTCTGGAGAAAAATCGGCCACGAATGCTATCTCAATTATAATTAACAATTATGTTTTTATTTATAATTAAATTAACACAACACACGGCATTTTATTTCTGTTCGTTGCATTCATAATTTATGGGTGATGTGGGTTTTTTTCCCACAGAAAATGGGCGACAGAGACTAAATTTTGTACTAGATGGTGCAGATCAGCCTGGACTCTTGACGATGGGAGTTAGAGAGTTACATGTGTACTGGATGGAATAGTCATCATTGGTCCTTTTCCACTGGTGACAGAGAATTACTGTATTTTTAGGAACATAATAACATAAGAATAAAGGTGACTGCAGAAGGCCTATTGGCCCATACGAGGCAGCTCCTATTTATAACCACCCAATCCCACTCATATACATGTCCAACACATACTTGAAACAATCAAGGGACCCCACCCCCACCACGTTACGCGGTAATTGGTTCCACAAATCACCAACCCTGTTACCGATCTAGTATTTACCAACAAATACTGTTTTTTACTCAGGGGGAAAGGTTCAACTTGGACCTTTCTTCACAGGTGACATAGACATACTTGTATATTGGGTGGTATAGGTCAGCTTGGGCCCTTCACCATGATCGACTGAAACTTATTCATGTACTGGGTCGCATATTTCAGCCCACATCCCTCACCGTGAGTGACAGGGAATTATGTTTTGAGCTCTATAGTTCAGCTTGAACCCTTTACAATCTTTTACATAGAAAATTGTGTACTGGGTGCTATAGTTCAGCTAGGATACCTCTCCACGGCAAGTAGATACGTGTGTACTGGGTGACATTGTTCAGCCCATAACCTTCAATACGAGGGATGGAGACATACTTGTGTAGTGGGAGGTGTAGTTCATCACGGACCCGCTTCCATGGTTGCATTTACAAGTCGTCAAGAAGCCATTGAAGGTGTGTATCCCATGCTGGGTGGAACAATTGTGCTCTGTGAAAACAAACATACACTTTTACAATTCTGTGTTATTATAAACAACATTTTTTCACTTTTCTACATGGTTTTATGTTTATTATCACTATATTTATTTTATAACTTTTGTCATTATTATTTACATAATGTTTTATTGAATGTTAATACTATTTATTTATTTATATTAATATATTACACATTCATTATTAATGTTGTTTAGGATAAAAACCCACAGTTGTGTATCTGTGAAATTTATGTAAATAATTTACAAATTTCACAAGTACACACTCCTATGTTATGTCTGTGTAAGAAGACATTATCATTACTTATTATTATTATCGTTATTATTATTACGATTAATATTATTATTTATAATATTTATATATATTTTTATGTGTTTTAATGTATTTGAAATCATTTTTATCACTATTAATTTTTACTCCAATTTGCAAATGTTAACACAATTTTATGTCACACTGAAGATAAAAATGTTAAAATAATGTTTTAGCGGAATTAAAATCAGAATTTTTCTCTCTCTTACATTTTTTTGGTGTTATGGTATCGCCACCTTCATTGGAGTGGTAATTCCAGCGCCATCTATGAGTCTGCACTCTAACTCCCCTGATATTGGAAGCTACGTGCACAACGTAAGCAAGTCGTCAAAAAGTCACATTTTATCTAATTTTTCGATAGTTTTTAATGTCTAAATAACTCTTTATTCAAAATTACCAAATATTGCACTGAAAACTTAACAAGTAATATGTTTGATTTCAGCAACAAAAAAGTATTATAATCACAAATTAATAAGTAGATAGGTATACTTTATTCATAAATGTTCGATCTGTATATTTACAAATAAGTTAGTTTACAAAAATTACAGTAAATTAAATACTTAAGAGAAAGTCACAGTAATACCATAACATGTGATATCTGTCAT